GTGAGTTTTGATTTTGATCTTTAATTTTTTTTTCTTGTTTTTTATTTTTTTAAAATTTATAAATATTATTTATTTGTCTTTGTAGAATAAATAAATTTTGATTTGATCCCATAAAATATTTTTCTTTAATTTTATCTCTAAAAAATTTAAAGTCGCTAATTTTTTGTCCTAACAATTATCTAAAGATATATGAATAATAATTATTTTAAGTATCTATATGAGTTCATAAGTGTTAAACATTGATATAATATCACTATCACTCGTGAATCATATCTAAGATATTCACTTAACCTTTTAATAAATAAAAAATAATTAAAAATAATCACAAACAATATAGGGACTAAAAATAATATTTTTAATTTTAAAAGGATGGAAAATAAAATATTTTTTACAAGACTAAAATCAAAACTAGATAATTTTGTAAAGATCAAAAACATTTTTAAGTCTAAAATAAATATCAATCCCTTATTAAAATATATACAATCAAATATTTTTTTAATATTATTTTTAAATTTTTATCTTCAAACGGCACATCACAAGTCACTTTTTTAATGTTATTTTTAATTTTTATCTTTAAATATTATATCACCTAAATGATGACATGTCATAAAATAAAGTCAAATTTAATAATTAACAAATATCAAATTAACATTACGATCAAATTTTATATATTTTTACTTTAAATAAAAAAGATTAGAATTGTATATTGAAAAAAAAAATAGAAAGATTAAAAACATAATCTTAAAAAACAAATCTATGAAGAATTGGTCCAAAATAAACACAACAGCCCGATCAGCAGCCTTCATTCATTATCCACAGGATTCAAATTCTGAAATCTCAATATTCAAATTTAGCTAAACCCTAACCCTAATATTCAAATATAGCATTGGTGTGGAGAAGTCGAATATTATACATGTCATAAAGAATGAGAATAAAATGGGTATTACGCCACACGCAACGCAAGGAGGTCAAAGCCTTTGGTCTTGAAAAAGAACTTTGATTATCTTCATGTTGTTGTTCAATTTTAACAAAATTTAATATAAACATATAAAATGATATGAAATTTCAATTTAATGGTTAGATTTACAAAATTTTCATTTAATATAAAGTTATTGAATAGTGTAATATAATATTTTTATAAATGAATAGAATTTTAATTGTTTTAAACTTTATTTATCTTAACAAAATATTTTACTGCTAAACATCTCATGGAATGTTTTCATTGTTTCAAACTTTGTTTATTTTAACAAAATATTTCCCCGCTAAACATTTCCTCTTGAAATTCTTATTCCCTAAAATATAGCATATAAATGATATTATAAGATATTTGAACAAAAATTGTTTGGTTAACTATATTGACTTTTGTCGGTTGTTTGGAAGAATATTTTTTTATTTATAAAAAATTATAATACCGATATAAAAATTTAAAATTTAAAATCCTGTTCAAGTACCACTATTTTAATGCATATACATGTTATTTGTAAAAAAAAAATTATAAACTATCCTTTAATTTATTTTTTTTTAAAAAAATTAACATTCAATTTATAATGTTAAAAATATATTTCAAAATACTCAATTTAAAATGTTAAATGTACTTCAGAGACTCATTTCGAAATTTTAAAAAAATGTACATCCAATCTTAAATGTTAAATGTATTCCAAAATGTGAAAATTGTATTTGAAAGCTGCTAATGTGAAAAGAAAAAGAAAATATGTACTGAAACAGCCATTTCAAAATAGAAAAGATGTACTTTAAAGTGACCATTTTAGAATATCAAAGGCAAATATAGCCATTATGGATCCCATATGGCCATATCCATATGTAGCTAACAGTTATGACCATTAAAGATGCGTACGTAACATTTCGGATTAAATATTTTAAATTTCCCAAAAACACTATTATGGAATACATTCTTTTCACTGTTTTTGGTAACACTAAAAAAAAAGAGAAGAGAAAACCATCAATCTATTATCATTATCATTCTTATTAAAGATTAATTAAATCAAATAATATTCATGAGACAATAAAGTTCCATTCCTTTGATACACGGACTGTTCAGGTACTGGGCTTTGGTGTCGGAAAGTTCCATTCGTTCACATTGCGGACACCAACAAAACAGTCGCAGATTGCTGGGTTAGTGGTGCTTGGAACTTCACTGCTTTGTATACTGTTTTCCCGGCGGAACTGATACATTCGGTCCAACGGTTGAGTGTCGTCAATTCCTCTTTGGGGCTGGATCACTTCGCTTGGAGGGGGAATAGCTCGGGCTGTTACACAGTGGTATCTGGGTATCATTTTCTAACCACGGTACTGTCAACGGAGGGGGACGAAGTGTGGAAGAAGATCTGGAAGTTAAAGATTCCTGAGAAGGTTAAGTTCTTTCTGTGGCAATGCCTTCATTCAGCCCTTCCAACAAATCAGGTTCGGGCTGATAGGAGGTTGGCCGACTTTGGTGCATGCTCGCGTTGCTCTTGCCCTCACGAAACCATTTTACATGCACTTCGTGATTGCCCGTATTCGCGAGAGGTGCTGATGTCTGGTGGGATCAATGTGGGGTGATCTTTCTCGATAATAGATTGTTTTCAGTGGCTGAAAGGGATTATTTTGCATAAGGATGCTATTAAGCTATCCATCACCTTATGGTGGGTTTGGCGGTTTAGGAATAACATGTTGTTTAACGCTGAGCTTTGGACGATTTCGGCGGTCCGTCGGAAGGTGACACTGTCTATGGTGGATAACAGTGTGTATAACGCGTAGAGGCGCTTAGGGGCAGAGCCAGCCCTTTGGAGGCATCCAGAGCATCCGTGGGTCAAACTAAACACGGACGGGAGTTGGTTGACTGGATCTTATGCTATGGGGATGGGTGGAGCAATTCGAGATTGGGCAGGTATGTGGCGGGGGGTTTCTTGCGTGGAGCTTTACATGGTGATGCGTTACGTGTCGAGTTATTGGCCTTGGAGGATGGCTTATCGTTTTGTTGGGAAGGTGGGTTTCAGAAGGTGAGTTGCGAATGTGATTGCCTGGGAGCTGTTACGTTGTTTCAAGAACGGTCAACGGATAGGGATTATCTACATAAGCACTATGATGTGATTCGTCGTATTAAGCGCATGCTAGCTAGGGACTGGGTTGTTTACGTGAGTCATATCCCTCGAGAGATAAATTCAGTAGCCCATACGCTGACTAATTGGGGCGTACGGAACATATGTTCCAATGTATTTTGAAGGAGTCCTCCAGAGTTTATCCTGTTACCGTTAGGGAGAGACTCTATATCTTGAGTTGTCTGCTGTTTTTAGTTTTCATTCTTTACCAAAAAAAAAGTAGCCTAATTAATCAAATCTTAACAAATATTGAAATTATAAATATATAACTTTAAAGCATTAAGTAATCTTTGAATGTCAATTTTAAAATATTAATTTAATTTTATTTTAGAAAAGTTTTTTTTTTATACCAGTGACTAATAACAATAGATTAACCAAATACCACAAGCTATAATAGATTCCATGTTTTTTTTTTATAAAAAAAAAAATAGATTCCATGGTTAGAAAAGGAAATAGTGGTGATTTCATTCTTACCTTATTTTTTTATGTCACTTTGTCCAAACACGAGAATGTTTGGGTTGCACCCCTAGCTACCCCCACCCGATCACTGAATTCCAAACGACACCATCATTAATTTTATATTAAAGAACTAATTTTTACATCACTGAATTCCCTTATTATTATAAGATACTTTTTAATCGAATTATATTAATTAATAAAATAATTATATTAATTATTTTTATTGAATATATAAAATAAAATTATAATTTATCAAACTTATCCTTCTTATTTATTATTAAATTTTTATAAAAAATTAAATAAATTATCAATACCATAAAAATGATAAATGATAACAGAAAAATTGAAGAAGTGAGAAACAAAAATAAATATTCTCATAATCTTTAATAAAAAATATAAAAAAAAAAACTAATATTAATGCTTTATAAAAATTATAAAATATCTAATAAAAAATTCACTAATTTTTTTTAAATTATGTCTCATAATAAAGTTTAAAGAGAGAAATTCTTTTTTTATAGTCTTACAAAATGGTTTAGAGTTCATGAACTTTTCATATGTTTTTAATGTTATAACATTTCAGTTAACATTTCCCCGTTCATACACATTTTTATAATTCTATACTTTTATTCCCTCTCACTTTTTTTTAGGATAGAGGCATAGGATTTTCAACTTTTCGTCATACACCACACTTTCTTAATGAATTTTGGTGCCATTTAATTTGAAAAGGACCTTGCTCGAATTATTATGCTATAACTATTCATGTTGCAATAGAATAAATATGACTATAGATTAATTTTTGTCATTTTTTTAATATTATATATATTTTTAAATAATAAATATAATTATTTAATACAAACCAATCCGACATTCGAATTATAAAAAAAAAGTATAAAAAATATAATTAAAATTGATTCGATTAAATTTAATTAGATTAAATAAAAAATAATATAAATCCAATTTAAATTGATTCGATTAAATTTAATCAGATCAAATAAAAAAATAACACAAATCCAATCTAAATTGATTTGTCCTACAATGGAGATAATTTTAATATTATTATTAGTATGTAATTTTATATATTCTCTTATTCTTATTTCTTAATATAAATAATAAAAAAATCACATTAACTGAAAAAATTGGTTAATATTATTTAATTATATTAAGTTCATTAAATAGCTTATTTTTTAAAACTATATTTTTTTAGAATTTAATATTAAGAATAAAATAATTATTAAAAACACAACTCAATTATAAAAACATTTTAGAGATAATAATGTTAAATTCAATTAAAAAAAGTTATATTCGAGACCTATAAATATGAATTTTATTTTTTTCATCTTATATTCGAAATAACAAGAGTACATGGCAAATCATTTTCAATAAAATCTCTAAAATATCTTTTCAGTGTTTTCAAAAAAATAAAAAATAAATTCTCTTCACCGTCATGCATGTGCAAGTCCAACCTTTGAAACAATTGTTTATGGTTTCTCTCAAACTTATCCGATACAATCAACCAGATGTTACCAAGAACAAGCCAAACTAGAGATTCATGATTGCACGTTGCCTTTTGTTGTCTCCAGCTCATTGAATATTACTATAAACGCATATTGAGATTCACCTTTATTCTTCTTCTTCTTTTTCTTCTCTGAAATCTTTTGCAGAAAAAACGTTGTGATTTATCCTTCAAAGATGGCATCTTTGAGCATGACCCATATCAGAGGTGGGAATTATGCATCTGGGTTTGGCCTGAATTGGGTTGGGAAGGTTCAGAGTGTTCCCAGAAGAGTTGGGTTTAAGGTGTTTGCTTCGGAGACTCAGGGTACAGAGCCTGATCTCAGTGTCACTGTCAATGGGTTGCACATGCCCAACCCCTTTGTTATTGGGTCGGGTCCACCAGGGACTAATTACACTGTCATGAAGAGGGCCTTTGATGAAGGTTGGGGGGCTGTGATTGCCAAAACTGTAAGCTTTTCTACTTTCATTTACTCACACCCTCACCTTTTTCTTGCATTAGCTTTATTTGTCTCTTTAAAGTGTTTGGTCTATTGGTTAGAATGAGCTTGTGTTATAGTTACACAAATACCTGAAAGGCTGAAAGACTCGAGAGTTGGAGTTTTGTGATCTCATACATAGGTCAATCTTTTGATCTGTCCTGCAAATACAGAATTATGCCATCATTTTAAGTCAATGTTGGTTTTCCTGTTATAAATTTATTATAGGCCACAGATCTTCATGGTTTATTGTAGTTGATACTTGGATCTTCCTGGTAGATCGTCGATTTGTCTCTTGATTCATGAAATGTCGTTGATTCTGTATGCAAAAAAAAAAAAAAAAAAAAAAGCAGATTTTACCTGGCTCCGGAAAGAATCCTTGGATCTTATTTAGGTGTCTCTTTCATTTTCAGAGAGGAAATTGGCATCATTAGAGTGAAACTGTCATCTTCTTTCATGAAAAAAAAAATGACAAAAAGGTTGTGGTCAATATAATATGGTCATAGAAACACAAACGTGGGAAATGAACATTGTGCTACAATAAACTATTACCTTCGGTTTATGAGCTTATCTGTTTGTCACATGGCATGATAGGAATATTGAAAGTTTTCTTTTTCATTTTAGAACTATAAAATTTATCTAAAAGAAAAAGGAAATTTTATTCATGGGCAATAGAATTTCCATCATTTGGTGATAGTAAATTGATGGTGATTTGCTGTCAAGAAGTTGATAAGCTACTGTGGATACCGTTTTTTACTGATCAATAAACGGTCATCAGCCTTGCAACTGGACATTGAATGCTTACTCATTGAGATGTGCTTGATGCCAAAACGTTTGAGTTCTATATTTTCTTTCGTGACTATTAGAATGGATACTCAGAATTGTCCTTTTTGTAAAAATGTGAAGTGATTGGTTCTTGGCTTCTTCCTATTTACAATTTGAACAGTACCATTTTCTGGATGCACAGATATAATATATATAAAATATAATGAAACACACTTAAGTATTGTACTATTTCTAGCTAACAAAAAATAGAGTTAGCCCAACTTAAGTTTTTAAATTAATTAAGGTTCCCTTGTCCTGCTATTTGTTTATGAATGTTCTTGCACACCATACTACTGATTAGTGATTGTATATATTTTGAAAGATTACTGTGGGATTTGATATTATTCTCATGCTAGGTATCACTTGATGCATCAAAAGTTATAAATGTAACTCCTCGATATGCCCGGCTACGGGCAGGTGTAAATGGCTCTGCAAAAGGAGAGATTATTGGGTGGGAGAACATAGAACTTATCAGTGACAGGCCGCTTGAAACCATGTTGAAAGAATTCAAGCAATTGAAAGAAGAGTATCCGGACAGAATTCTCATTGCTTCAATCATGGAGGAGTACAATAAGGCTGCATGGGAGGAGCTTATTGATCGCGTTGAGCAAACCGGAGTTGTAAGATGTTTCTTGGCTGAATTTATGACATTGAACATTTTCTCAACATGAAATTTCTGATGGCTGATCTCTCTGACATTCTCTTAGGATGCACTTGAAATAAATTTCTCATGCCCTCATGGCATGCCAGAACGCAAAATGGGTGCTGCTGTTGGACAAGATTGTGACCTTCTGGGAGAGGTTTGTGAATGGATAAATGCTAAAGCCACAATTCCTGTTTGGGCTAAGATGACTCCCAACATAACTGATATTTCACAGGTTGGCTTTGGTTTTGTATCTTTTATCTTGTTCTTATAATAATATACTGTAACCATAATACCATATTATAAAGTTTTAGAAGTGGAAACTTGTTCAGTTATCAAATTTATGGATTTTCACTGAAATTTTGGATTGTTTTTTGAATTGTGCATGATTCATTGCACCATGCACATGCAGTTGTATGCATTTTTTATGGACTTGTACATGTCACTTACTTAGGAAATGGAAAAGAAAAGTGTTTTAATGAACAAGATCAGCCTAACAATAAGTGAGGCGTAAAGCAAATTTTGATAGAGAAACTTTTTCTTTTAATAAGAAGGGTATGCGTCGAGTCTTTTTGCCAACATATGAAGTCTTTTGTCAACATGTGGCCTTTTTACTTTATAAAAATTAATAACAAACATTTTTTTATTGATGGACCTAAGGCTTAAGCTTTAGTAGCCTTACTCTTTGATCTGTCCTGTTAATGAGCCTCTGACTTATTGCACGTGTGCAAACTATTTTCTAAGGGCCCTTTACAAGCGAAATGTCTTGGTGAACTTTTTTGATGCCAGTTTTGGTTAAGTTAGTAAATGTGTAGTGTGCAGTCTGTCTTTCATGATTACCATGTTAGTAACTTTGGTGATGCTTCTGCTTATAGCCAGCAAGGATTGCTCTAAGTTCAGGATGTGAGGGAGTATCTGCCATAAACACAATCATGAGTGTCATGGGAATTAATCTAAATACATTACGTCCCGAGCCTTGCGTTGAGGGGTTAGCAATCTCACAACAAATTGATGGCTTTCCCTTGCTTTTTCAGCCATCGATCTTAAGTACCTAATTTGTCTAAATTTTGTTGTTAGGTACTCAACTCCTGGGGGCTATTCTGCAAAGGCAGTACACCCTATTGCCCTTGGAAAGGTGATGAACATTGCAAAAATGATGAAGTCAGAGTTTGATAGTGAGAACTATTCTCTTTCTGCCATTGGTGGTGTTGAGACAGGTGGTGATGCTGCTGAATTTATTCTTCTTGGGGCGAACACTGTTCAGGTATGATCAACAGAATAACCTTTTAGGCCTAGTTGATACTCACAATAGGGCATTCTATACTTTTGTCCCCCAGGTTTCTACTTGTTCAATGGAAAATGAATTAATCCAAACATATACCAAGTAGATTTAATTTAAAGAATATAATAGTCTTGCACTAACTCTGAATTAACCAGATATCACCATTACTATCACTTTTTATTGATTTATTATAAAAGTCTGTAACTTACTACAAATAGTGATTTAGATCAGATGACAATATAAAACTAATTCACTGTCAGTGCATCACTGATTTACTCTAATTTAAGTACACTGATTCAATCTTAAATTGCTATGTATGAAAGATTGTTAATTTTTTTATGATGATAGTACATAGAAATTGAACTTTTTTGTAGGTGTGCACTGGTGTTATGATGCATGGTTATGGTCTTGTGAAGCAACTATGTGTTGATCTTAAAGACTTCATGAAAAAGCACAATTTCACATCAATAGAAGATTTCAGAGGGTATGGTTTTGAACTGACATGGTTTCCATTTTCCAATATCTTAAACAAACACAGAAGAAATGCATGTATGAATTTTTTGCCTCTCATTTTTCTTTATATAATAAAAATGACAGGGTTTCTCTTGAGTATTTCACTACTCACACTGATTTGGTAAGAAGGCAGCAGGAGGCAATTCAGAAGAGGAAAGCCATAAAGAAAGGCTTGCAGTCTGACAAAGACTGGACAGGAGATGGTTTTGTGAAAGAAACAGAAAGCATGGTATCTAACTGAAATGTGCAATCAAAATAGCAATCTGTTTTATATGATTGCATGCATATTCATGCAAATGGGGAGGTGAAGGACATTATCCTTTAATAATAATGGATGTTTATCCTTTTGAGAACAGTATGGTGTATTTTATGGGAGAAAATAATAAAAATATACTTGTGAAAATAGTTTTCCTCATTTAATTTTGACTTTTAGAAATTTAATTATAAAAGGAAAAAAATTCTAACCTTTAGCTCTCGGTTTATAATTTTTAGGCCCAAAACTGGTGAGAACCATGGTTGGTGAGAACCATGGTCTAGCAATTGATTAGTCAATTCAAATAAATAACAAGTTCTTCTTCACTTTAGATAAAAAAGAAAAATGTGAAAATGGGTCTCTTCTGACTCAATTTTGTGACCTCACATAAGATCCATGTTGCATTCCACTATCCTACAACTATTTGTTGTAACATTTTGTACAAATAGTTTATAATATTACATTTTTTTTATATTTAAGTTAATATTTTTACTAATTCTATGTAACCTATTTTTTTTTACTAATTATTTGATATTATTATTTCCAATTTATCTGAATCTTTTATTTTGCAAGAAGTTTTATATTCCTTTATATTAAATTGAATTTTAATTTAATTAAGATATTGTGATTCTATGAAAATTTATTACTTAAAATAATAAATCATGCTAAAATATACTAATTCAACCACAATTTACTCATGATTGGACTTATAAACTACGAATAATGTCTTTACCAGTAAAATGATTGATACAATTTAAATAACATTGTCTATTTTCTTGTCCTCTCAAAAAAAAAAAAATTGTAGTTTTTATGAGTATGATAGTGGATTAAAATTTGGGAAAAAGGATGAAGGTTGATTTTGTTGTTTTGGACCTTGCTCCATGGGTTTAGTAAGGGAAAAAATCATCTTGTTTGGGTGTTGCTATTAGTACCTCCCCCTTTTCCTCTTCACATTGCCTGATATTTTTATTTATTTTTCATACAAAAATATCCTTCACAAAAATTAATTTTGGTTACTAATGCTGTATGTCGTGTATTTGGTAAAAAAATTCACAAAGGGAACTAATGGGGCATTGGGGATGGGTACACAAAGGAAACTAGATTTCGTTGTATATAATAAAAAATGAAAATTAGTTTTTGTTTTGTATTTGATACAAGATACAGGAATTTAGTCTCTTCCGTTGTGTATCTGATATAACACACGCAATGAAAATTAATTTCTGTGAAGTTTTATTGTCAAAAAATATTTTATAAAAAAAACTCCAAATAGTGCAAATAAGTAAGGTGGTGCGAATAGCAATCTCTATGTTTAGTAGGTCCAAAGTTATATGGTAAGAAGGATTTCTCTTTTGAGGACCAAAAGAGAACTATGAACCAATATAATAATTTGATTTTAATTCCTCACTAAGGACTAAAAATGTGTGTGTGTGTGTTTTTTTTTTTATAAATACAAGACTAAAATGCTTAAATTTTTATAAGAACTAAAACTAACATTTTAAAAATATTTTTGGAGATCAAAATATATTTTTTAAAAAAGTAGTAGGAGGTTGCTTTAGCTTGATTATTTTTCTTTAGGGCTTTTTGTTTATCGTAGATATATTTTTTGTTACTATTGTAGAGGCTTATGTCTTTCTTTTATATAGCATAAATAAATAGTAATAGATAAGTATAGTTAAGAATATGAATAAAAAATTAAGAAAAAAGGCTAGGTATACTTTGAATTGTTAGGTTAGATTTATAAGAGTTATTATTATTATTATTATTATTATTATTATTATTATTATTATTATTTATTTATTTTTAACTTTTAGTTTCACGGTAACATCAGCACAGAGATATATATCTAAAAAGTGGTCACAGCCTCTGTCTCACATTTTGGACTACTTGCAGTAAACCTTCATAAATTATGTTTTCTAAATTGTAATTATGTGTAAAACTCGTAAGTGCTTAAAAGTATTAAGTCATGAACATAAATTTATGAGTTTAAATGTTTTATAATGATACACTGTTAGTGTAAATTTTATTTTCAACTAATCATACATCATGATTAATACAATCTTTTAAGTAACTATATTAAATCAACAAATTTATCATAGATGATAGTTTGCTATTGAATGACAATAAAACATTTTTATGTTGTCGGTGCATAGACTATATTCTCTGCATATACAAATGTGATAGGGCCTTATCCAGCATATAGTTTTTTTTTTTTTTGTTTTTATTAATTTTAACTATCAATAAAACATGTACAAGTTCACGACCAAAAGTTAGTATAAACAGGTTTAACACTCATGATTAAAATTATAAATCTTCATTTTAACCCTTTTCTCATTTTTAAATATTAAAGTTTTATTATAATCTATATATTTATTATTGAAGAGTTTAATTTTAATATACTATCGGTGTAAAGATTTTTTTTCCCTGTAAATTAATTAAAACTAAATCACAAATACAACTTTTAAAGTAATTATTATAAAAATTAATAATTTTATTATACATAATAACTTGCTTTTGGATGAAAATACACAATTTTTATATTGATGCATAATTAGCTTCCTTAATCAATTTATTTAATATTTAAATTCTAGCTTCTATTTTTAAAATCATAGCTAAATTATTGTTTGTTTTATAGTATATTTGGTCGCTGGCGCTTATAAATTTATTTAACTAAAACAAATTATTATTTAATATACGAACTAAATTTTTCGCCTATGTAGTGTATATGTTGACAGGAGAGGCAGAGTATTGTTGGAGAGGTACTAGTCAGATGCTGATTGACCGTGGAGTGGTTGTGGACTGGGTGTGCTTCAAGAGGGCCTTCCTTGAGAAGTACTTCCCAGTGAGTGTCAAGCATGCTCGGGAGGCAGGGTTTATGAGATTACAGCAGGTGGGAATGTCGATGACCGAGTATGCCATCAGATTCGAGCACTTGGCACACTTCTACACCCAAGCCACCTCTGAGGCTTGGAAGTGTAGGAAGTTTGCTGAAGGCTTGAAGTATGATTTAAGGAGAGTGATGGTGCCTATGGCCATCACGGAGTTTCCAGCCTTGGTAGAGAAGGCGAAGGTTGTAGAGCGGCTAGAGAGGGTCGGCAAGCCAACGAAGATTGTTGGTGGGTCAGTTGGGTCCAAGAGTGGTGTTGGTTCTCAGAAGAAGCCTTATGATAGGCCCCAATCACTATAAGGGAGTCTTGTCACAAGGAAATTTATTGACATAGCTAGGAGTGGGGGTTAGAGTGAAGCTATTATTCTCAGATGTTACAGATGTGGTGGACCTCACTTCATTCGTTATTGCCCTCATATCGAGAGCAAGTGCTTTAGGTGTGGCCAGATGGGTCACATGTCGACTAGTTGTCCTGTAGGTGCCATACATACCAGGAGTGCCCTGAGGGGTGATAAATCTACTGTAGCTGGGAGGGTGTTTGCCTGTATGTAATTTGGGGTTGAGATTGTTTGTGTCTGCGCACGCTTCTGTTTCTATTGTTGCCTCTAAGATGTGTGTTGGTTGTCCCTTGGAGATGTGTGATAGGAAGTATAAGGTGAACTTGATCTATTTGCCTTTAGTGGATATTGACATAATCTTAGGCATGGATTGGTCATCTGCCAATCACATTCTTATAGATTGTGCCAATAGGGAGTTGATTTTTCCCTTAGGGAGAGGATGAATTATTGATTTCAGCCAGCCAAGCTGAAGTGATGTTGAGAGATGGAGCAGAGTGTTGTATTCTGTTTGCTACTGTAAGTGTGGAAACTGAGAAGGTGATCAATAGGTAAGAGTTGTGAGGGAATTTCTGAAGGTGTTTTTGGATGAGGTTTCTGGGTTACCTCCTACTAGGGAGATTGAGTTTAGCATTGATCTGGTCCCTGGTGTATGGCCAGTGTTGGTTGCTCCCTATAGGATGGCCCCAACAAAGTTGGTTGAATTAAAGGATCAGGTGGAAGAGTTGAAGAGAAAGATTGACTACTTCTCCTATGTTGGTGTTGCCTAATCCTAATGAGCCATTTGAGGTGTGTTGTGATGTTTCTCACCTAAGGTTGGGGTGTGTGTTGATGTAGAATAGGAGAGTAGTTGCATATGCTTTAAGGTAATTGAAGAATCATGATAGGAATTACCTTACTCATGACTTAAAGTTGGCAGCAGTTGTTTTGCCTTAAAGGTATGGATGCACTATTTTATAGTGCAGGGTTCAACGTCTTTGGTGATTTCAAGAGTTTGAAGTATTTGCTTGATCAGAAGGAGTTGAACACGAGACAGAGACGGTGGATGGAATATTTCAAAAGACTACGAATTTCAGTTGATGTATCACCCTAGGAAGGCTAATGTAGTGGCAGACGCTTTGAGTAGGAAGTCCATCCACATGTCTAGTTTGATGGTGAAGGAGTTGTACTAGTCAGATGCTGATTGACCGTGGAGTGGTTGTGGACTGGGTGTGCTTCAAGAGGGCCTTCCTTGAGAAGTACTTCCCAGTGAGTGTCAAGCATGCTCGGGAGGCAGGGTTTATGAGATTACAGCAGGTGGGAATGTCGATGACCGAGTATTTTACTTGATTTTTTTAAAAATTAATAAATACATTATTTAACATTTATTAACTAATTTATTAGTTAATATTTTTAAATACTTTCTATTCAATTAACTAACTTAAAGTTTTAGTTAATTTGTACACTAGTTATGTAATAGTTATCAATCTATTTATTTATCTATCTATCTATTTATCTATCTATCTATGAGAGATATATAGATACAGATCATTGTTGCATAACAAATTTAGTATAAATATTTGAGATTGAATGTGTTTCTCTGGACTAAAAAATTACTAATAATTATATAACTAAATTCTAACTATTAGTGATATTAGTTTAGTTTTGAACACAGCATATCTCAAATTTTTATTGCTGCAGAATTATAGAAAATTAACGAACTCGATTAACATTATAAAGGAACCGAACTCAATAATAACCATCTTTCTAATTATTTTTTATATATAGGAATTGAAGTTGTTAATTATCTAAGAAATTTATATCCAACAAAATATGCTAAAGTAGTATAGTCTTATATTTTAATTAACTTGGATAATCTAGCCAAAAAAAGATATTAAACGTAGTAGCAAAATTTACTATCCGGTTAGAGCAAGTGGCAGGAAGCTAGTAATCGTTTTTTTTCTTCTTTATTTTTAGTAATTGATCAGCTGACGTGGACCGAACTGAAAGTCAATTAGCCCTAGTTAGCTTAATATACGTACGAAGAGCAAAAGCTTACAAACCCTTCATTGGCCCTCCTGTTCGATCATATGACGGGACAGTTTGGTACAGCAAATCTATGGGGGATTATGTAAAGGAGACAGTCAAGAATTATATTTGGACAAATGTTATGATAAAATTTCAGTTATACTGAATATTTTTCATTATTAAACTTTATTAGGATATTAACATGTATTAATTCATTGTTATCATAAATGTAGGAAACTTGAAACATTTCTAGGATAGAGAATACGAGAAATAAGCCTCTCTTTATTGTGGCTAAGAGGTGGAGGGCATATAAGACTACCCTCACGAACAATTACATTTTTGAGAAAAAGAAAGGTGAATTTCCTGGTCTTAAAAACCCTACTATAGACCAGGAGATGTGGTACACATTTGTAGAGTCTAGAATGATTTAAGAGTTTTTGGTAAGTTAGGATTATATGCATTATTATTTGTGTTGTTGAGAATATTAATTTTTTATCCTTAATCTCATTATATGATACTTTTGTAGGAGAAAAGAAAGAAGGCACAAGAGATTCAGGCAAAGAATGACACCACTGTTGTGATGTCTCATAGGGGTTATCCACGACTTAAGAAAAAGCTGATGAAAGAGAAGGCTATGAAGCGTCAAGCTAGCCAAAATGAGATTGCACTTAGTGATCCTCGTTCTCCACCCATGCGCCATGAATTATGGAAGTTTGCTTACATTAAAAAAATGGTCGAGTTTACAATTGAGGCAATAAAAGAGATCGCTAACAAGATAGTAAGTATAATTTTTTTTGCACATATGATGCTAGTTAACATATGGATTGATAAATGTTTATTAAATTGTTTTTGTGTCTTGTATTGCAAGATATATTGGAACAACAATCTATAGAGGGATCTTCTGTTTCCCATGGACGTCAAGATATACTCACTGTTACAATAGGGAAGCCTAAGCACCCAGGTCGAGTTCAGACTGCTGGTGGAGGTCATAGTCTACAAACTTACTTTGGATTGCAATCATCTTCACAGTCATTTGGCACGATGGATCTGTTGGTGGAATTAAAAGTCTATCAGTTTATAGCAACTTATGAGGAAAAAATTAGTCAGATGCAAGAGGAGATTCACAGGCAGTTGCAAGAGGACATGCAAAGGTAGCTGCAAGGGCATATGTCGCCACTCAACCAACAGTTTGAGTAAAGTACTCTACTAATAGAACCATTTGTTGCACGTGTGAGTACAAATGGATCATGTGCATCTATTGATCCCTCTGTTACTGCCACTAGCACTAGTACATCTAATAAGTGTGAGTTGTTTGTTGATGGATCACTCGATCCTATAGGCACAGGGAGGATTCACATATTGGGGTCCATTGTACACCATCAGGCCATGAGAGATGATATGGTTAGGGTTTCAGTATTGGATGTTAGACACCCAAAGGCTAGAGTTCCTACGCCTACATAAGAGGTTCAGACGATGGGATAGGCCTTGAACACCTTCCTTCAATGGCCTTATAAGTTGGTGAAGGTGATATCTAAAAAGGTATGTTATTTAATTAATATTTAATTTTAATTAGTTGGTGTTGTTGTATTATAATATAGCATAATATTAATTTTGTACTTTGTGGAATAGGACATTGTTACCTCACCAAATGGTAAAGGGAAGGCCATGGTTATCCCTTCTAGAAATCTACCTTCGATAAAAAGGTTATGGAGATTAGTTGTAGATATGGAGTATGACGAGCAACCCAAACAGGTCCCTTGGACTCTTGAAGTATTTGACAAACCTAGTAAAATACCTTTGTATATAAGTCAGAGTGACATTAGAGATTATTAACGGTCATTGTATATGCTGAACATATCAATTTTGCAGTTGTAGTTGTTGTAAGTATTTGAATTATTTTTAATTTTATTTTGTTGATTTGTTCTAACTTTGTTTCTAACCTTGTAGATTTATTCATAAATTGAGCGTGGATAAGGGGAATGATCACATATATGGATTTTTGGAACTTGAGTCAATCCAAAAAACCAGGAACAAGGTGGAAGAAACACAAGTTTATATTGAAAATTGGATATCTGACTCAAATAAAAAATTTTATTTAGCCCCTTATTTTTCTAAGTAACTATACTTTCATATAATTGTTTATAAACTTTTTTTTTAAAAGTATTCTGTATCATTAATAGTTTCTCAATGTAGTACTCATTGGCAGCTTCTAATTATTTGTCTTATGGACAATATAGTTGTATGCATTTATTCACTACATAAACCTCTTCTTATGGAATTCAAACAATTATTAGATAAGTAAGTTGTTTAAAAACATCTACTTTCTATTATTGATTATCAATATATTTGATTTTAAACTATATTCATAATATCATTTTATTACTAGGACCATGGAAGGATATCATATACTACAAGGTTTAAAGTTGAAGAAAAAAAATGAGTTGGATCTCTCTTAAAGTAAGATATTTTAATTCCAACAACAATATTTTTTAGGATGTTTTGTTTTGAATTACCATTACTATTGAAATTGATTTTATATTCTTTTTGTAGTCTCATAAACAAAAAGGAAATTATGAGTGCGGATACTATGTAATGAAGACAATGCATACTATTGTTAATTTAGAAATAGTATCTGGGTAGGCTGAAATAAGTTTTACAATTTTGAAAATGTTTATTTCAAGTTCTCGTTTTATATGTGTTATGAATTATTACTAATTGTTCCAATTTTTCTTAACACATTTATAGATCAATCATCATTGCCGTTAGAAGACATAAACACCATTAGGGAGCAATGAACCACATTTTTCATTGACCATTACGTTGACTAGTTTGGACTTATGTTTTATAGTGTTGCATTGACTAGTTATAACTTATGTTTCATTGAGAAATGAGACACATTTATGTATTTAAAACTTTTTGATTATATATATGGTTGAAATTTATCATGCCTTCCTATTTGTATGTTTTGGTTCATTGAGAAGTAACATAAGAAATGTAAACATTCTAGTTAATTGAAAACATTTGAACTGTCTAGTATTTATTAATTTGTAAGTTTTATTCTGGGACTCCTAAAACAAGTAAAATATTTTAAAAAAATTCACCACTTTTAAGATTGGTTACGCCATAAACAATCTTAAAAATTGAACTTTTAAGATCAATTATACAATTGAAACTTCAAAAGGTTCCATTTAAAAGTCACAACTATTAAAATTGATTGTCCAATAATTAATCTTAAAATATAAAACTTTTAAGATTGATTATCCTCATAACTAATCTTAAAGGTATATTTTTATGATCGGTTAATAATCGATTTTAAAAATCTAATTTTTTTAAATTAACTTTTAAGATCAATTAGAAAATTGATTTTAAATGTAAAAAATAACCAATTTCTTTTAAAAAAATTTCTACTAATAATATAAGCTTTGAAGTTTGTTAGTACTAGATAGTCCCTTATTCATGCAAAGATGTTAATGTACAAATATATGTTTGGAACTATTTGTGGGAAGTGGTGGAATAAATATCAAACATATTGGATAAGGTAGGAAATCTCTAGGGATTGCTAAAGGTAATCAATATGTGTCACAAAATAGATGGGATGCTAGTGGTGATTTTTTACACGTCTTGCTCTTCACATGACCAGCCACCTCATTTTTGGATTCTCACATGGATTCTTGATCTAATGGTTTGACAACACATAGCATGCAGGGATCAATTTTGGTCAATTACAAGCATTGTAATTTTTCAATTAATTGTTGGTGTGTTGCATATTAATATTCTGTAAGAGAGATCTATGGTTAGCTCTTAATTTATACTCATAAGCATATTATATCTAACCAGCAAAAATATTATTGAGAATCTTGTTTTTTTTTTTACTATTTGTAAATGGATTTTAGTACCTCTTTACCTAATTAATATAATGTTGTTGTGTTGATAAAAATAAAATAAAATGGAGATGACTTAACAATTTTTTGTCATTATCTAAATTTGCTTAGCATCAAATTAATAGTTTTAGCATTCTCTTATGTGGCTCACATGGTGTATAGACACTTAATCAAAATTCTCTCGCATAACCTCGTAATGATCTTATATTTATACCCCGACATCATCATCACTACAAGAAATCATCACTACAAGAAATGTTATATATAGTGACATACAAAAAGTGTCACTATAAGTATAATATATGTAATATATATCTATTTGACATATAGTTACATATAATTTTAATGTTGATTTTGAATGAGATTTAACAACATATTTTATGTGTCATTATAGTCTATACCTACACTTTTTAATAATATACCAACATATATTATAGTTATTATGTGGGTAAAAATAAATTTTAGTGATATGTATAGTGTCACTATAAGGTGTGTGTCACTATATGACAAATTTCTTGTAGTGCATATAGTATGACACATATAATATTATTACGGACTTAGAAGATGGAAGATTTGTTATCCATATATAGTTATATACTAGTGTAATCTCAATATTGTTGAACTTTTTATTGGTTTCCATAATAACTCTGCACTTTTTATTTTTATCTAAAGTAAATATCTCACCTTAGGTCGATAAACTTTAATTTCTCCAAACCAGATTCGTATATTTTTCATGGTAAAAAGTAATAAGCGAATCCTATTTTAATTAACTGCAATATTTATACATAATATTCATGCCCGTTGATTTCACAGATAATTAATGACGTACACTTTAATTAACCATGGATTTTTTTTTTTTCCAATTTGTGAATAATTGAAGCCTTAATTAATAACCTAGCTGCGAAATATTACACTGCGATGCATGCATGCACACTGAAAAAGTGAAATGCATCTAAATTGTGGGGTTTCTTCTTATCAATTTGCACTCACTAGAAGATGCTGCAGGTTCAGGTGGTGCAGGCAATGTTGCCTTTGTGAGCTCCCTAAGCTGTGAATGCATGTTGTTTATGAACGCCATGGACTTCTGCTGTGGTTCCACCATTGCTTCTTTCAGCTTCCCAAGTGCCAAGCAATATGCTTCCTGCATGGTTGTTGGTTCAACCAAAACATTACAATACAGAATTTAATGGCTATGCATCGACACTGTTAATCAATATAGAGTAAGAAATATCTATATTGATAAGACTTTTTAGTTATTGATTATAGAGTCAACAAACTTATTATATATAGTATTTTGTAATTTATAGGCTAAACTAAAATTTCCATTCTCAGCGTGGTTTTCTTCCCTTGGTATTTGTCTTAATTTCTGGAATAATAATTCTTTCTGATTCTGTACACATCAGAGTGTTAGTTTTGTATCTGGTTTTCTGAATACTGAACTTGTTTGATTATTAGATGACATTTTTTGGCCTAGTTTTGTAATGGTGGTAGACAGTACAATCAGGTGATTACTTTTTGTATGGATTACGTTGAGTTTTGTTTAGGTGACTTTGTATTTTGTAACGGGTTGGGGTACCCTTTGTACTCCCATTAATTTATTTTGCTTATAAAAAAAAAACACATAATTCAGTTTTTTTCTTTCTTTTTAGTTCTTCCATAAAAATTCCTTTACTTGTAACCTATATTTTTGGACTACACCAAAAAAGGAAAAATATCAAGGACCATCTCATTTTAAGATGCAAACAACAAAGAGATAATAAGAAGAAAAAAAAAGCAGAAACAAAAAATCACAAATATAATAAGCATGTAATAGAAACATAATAAAAAGGAGGGGGGGTGGGGGAGAAAAGAGATGAAAATACCATTTGAAAAAAGAGCAGATATACTTATAATTACCCAAAAAAATATTTAGAAATTGTCCCTACTATTGACGACAAAACTGGGACGGATCTTGAAACTTCCTGCTTTATAATTATTTCAATATTTAACTTTAAATAATATAGTGCACTAAATAAAGCTTATATATTTTAAATTTATTGAAACTTTATAATATTTTTTATTATGTATTTATTGAATTTTTTATAAGTAATTTATACCGAGATATATTCTATATATTTATTAATAAATAGATAATTAAAATTTCTGAGGGAGGCAAGCAGCGATCTGTCCCTGATAACAATGTTAGGTTTAGCTCTAGCACTTGAAAATATTTTTTATTTTAATATGAATTTTCTTTTTACATTTCAAATTAGTTCCTAAAATAAAAAAATAAAGTACATATTGGTATACACCTAACACAATTTTTTTCGTTTTGATCTTACAATAGTTTGAAAACATCAAAGACTGTAAATTCATGTACTAAGAACCAGAATATAAGACTTTTTCATTTAGGGATTAAAAATATAAAGACCAAATTCTTAATTTAACAATATATACATATAATAGGGGTGAGCAACGGGTGGGTTTGGTCGGGTTTGAGTGAAAAATGTCTAATTCATTGTAAACCGACTTTAGAAAAATGTGACCCATATCCGATCGACTAAGCTTTCGATTTGAGGCGATTCGAGTTGAAACGGATTCGGATTTGAGTGAGTGGGTACAATCGGGTTTGAATTTTTTTGTAGACCAAATTATCTTAACAAAGATGAAGCTTAAAACGATAAAAAAATATTTTAAAAATAGTGTACAAAAATAGAATGAAGGTGACAATAGATGGTGTAAGTAGATTCGTAGATTAAACATTTACAAACCAAAGAAGCAAAAATAAAAGATAACAAAATCTATAATTGTTACATGCAAAAGAAATGTAAAGTTAGATTACAAAACCCATAAGAAACCACAGCTGCACAAGTTGTACTCAAAATGGAGATAAGAAGATGGAAAAGAATGACAAAGAAAGAAGCAAAAAGAAAACTCTAAAAATGGACTAGTGTGTTAAGAAGTTAAATGAGGAAGAAGAAGACAAAATAAATATCTAAGTTATGAGAAAAAGGAAAAAAAATAAGTTACAAATTAATGACTATATTATACTTGAAATAAAGACTTTTAAGTTTGAACAATTTTTGTTTAGTTAAAAGTAATAAAAATCTAAACTTATCTCTTTTCGGTTGGGTTCGATTTTTAGCAGGTTTAAAAATTTAAAACTGAACTTATAACCCGTATAAAACTAAAATTTTAACTCAATTTACCCATAAGACCCGTCCAAACCCACCCAAAAATAATTTTTTATCGAATTTTTTGGATTCAGTCCGGGTCTCGATTTAATGCTCACCCGTAACACATAAAAAAGTGTTTCACCTACAAGAGTGTATTTCATATGAGATTCCTTTGTCCTGTTATATGTGGGGAGAGAGGAAGTTTCCCAACAAAAAAAACTTTATCTTTATTTTATTAAAAAAAACTTGTATTGCATCATATGAGATCTGTTTCCAATATATATAATATCAGGATATTGGAAAAAGATAAAAAGTAATAAGATTTGAAACAAACAACTCACATGTTATGTATAATTAACCAGTTATTTCTAATTGACCTTAATAAGTATGACTGTATGAGGAAACCAAATTTGGCAGTCAACAATGTTTCCCTAAATTATATTGGAGCTAGATACTTTGAACAATTATAAAAGTTTCCAGAAGTATGTAAGAGCAGGTGGTGGGTCTAATAGGTCTCCTAAAAATGAGCAATTCAAAGTGATGGTGCAGTCCATTCAAACTTCTATACCATAGTGCATACCTACTTGTGTCAAAAAGTGTGTATATATATTTTTTCACAAACTCATGTCCCAGAGATGAAGACACCACTTTTCTGAAATGATACCATTCTCCCATTTATGATGTGTTGGATAATGTTAACACCAAAATTACCTATTAAAAATTTCTGAGATATCGTTATATTCACCTACAAATTAGTCCTTTTAAAAACAAGGACTAATACCCTACAAAAAAAATACAAATACATGTCATGCTTTCATGGGAAAAAATAAGATATTTGTTGTTGGTTATGGCATTTATATGCTAAGTAATAACCTTTGCGGCATAAAGTAAATGTGAAAAGACACAATCTGAACTCTTGCACAAACACAGAGACAGATAGGAAAAGTGTCACAGTCATGGAATTGGAACAAAAAACTACGCGCATTTCTGAGTGTGGTCTCTTTCAAGCAGGAAGCACATGCTTTAGGCAACAATGAAGTGTCCATCAAAATGAAGAAATATCATTCCTCATTAGGTTATTTGACTGACTTTTCATTCAGTAATGACCCAACAGATCTCATAATAAACATTCATTCATTCATTGGTGTTTGTGTAAACCAACTCACACAAGTGTGTGAGAGAGAGAGAGTGAGTGTGTATTACCATGAAGAGATCAAGCTCAGACTGGCTGAACATGCCCATGTTTTGCTTCTCCCTTGCTTGCATCTCATCTATCTTCAACTCTCTTTCCAAGTTGGAAATGTCACCAACCTGAAAAGCAAGTACTAACACCATGCATCTTCAAACGTTCATACTTAAATTGAAACAATATGTTAATGAGCTTTTGTATTTTGATATCTTTTGTACAAATTGTGCACCAAGAAGTGTAAGTGGTGGATACTAAAGAGCTTATTAAACAAAAGTTCATTTTTAACAATGATTATTCCATTTCAAGCTCAAATGAAGTTAACAAACCTTCTGGTTTCAGATGTGATTCAATAACAGGCTTGCATAAACAACTTATAATCTACATGGGTTATCACCAATAAGTGTTTATTTGAGGAGTAAGCTTCTTTTCGTATGACTTCTATTGATCCTTTACATTCAATCATATAATCTCAAATGATGCTAACAATCTGCTCCCTTCACTATATTTTATTGGTACGTACAATCCAATCTCAGGATATATAACCGTTGGTCTATTTACCACGATTCAAGTTGAATAAGATGAAAATCTCTTATGTAAGGGAAAGAAAAAAGAATTCCTAAAAGACATATTGTCTCTTAATGTAATTTGAATCACAGCTTAGTATTATATAATTAATTTTCTGAGAAATTAAGAAACATATACATAGTAAACACATTAAACATAGAGTTGAGGTTGAATTCAATACAATTCTACATAAATTAATGTAAACCGGGGCAGGAAAAACATTGCACAGACGAAGGTCTTAAGAAAGTGGCTATGCACAAGCGGCTACAACACTGTTAAAATAGACTCTTATACCATCATTTAAAATTGATTTATTATAATCATATTACTAGTTAGTCGATGTGAAAAAGAAATTGAAATTGAAGGGAAAGGAGAGAAAACCTTCAAACAGTCCAAGTGAGCTTCAACCAGCAATCCATAGAGAGGATGGTTGGAGATTCTTCTCTTGAGGATCTCATTGTTTTCTTCTTCATCATCATCTTCTTCCTCAAGTTGTTGTTGTTTGTAGGCCTCAATCTCAATAGTGTCGTTGGTGTTTGGGGTATGAGATTCCATATGATCTATTTTTGAGCAAAAGGAGTGAACCTATAATATGCCAGATATTGAAGTGGTGAAAATGATAGTATATAGTAATGTATTATATATATATATATATTATTATATATATATATATATATAGTGATATAGATAGATGTGAGAGGTGAAATAGTAGTAGTACTATATATGGTGGTGGATGAAGAAGATGAGGTGAGTGAGATTGAGATGCTCCTGGATTTGGAAGTGAGAGTGAGAGGGTTGCATGCATACGTGGTTAAGAGAGTGGGGGGTGTGGCCTTTTTGCTTCCTCTGTTTGCCGTGTCTTTTAGCACTCATGAAAGCAACACTTCAAAGTTTTCTCGAGCAATGGTGTGGTGCCTTTGTTAGTACACTGCATTCTGTGTCTTTTTCTTTTTCCACTTTTTTACTAACTCATTCCCCCCAACCGAACGCGGCCAAAACTCAACACTGTTCACTCTCGTTCCTTCTTCATTCCTGTTTCCGTTACTGTTCTGTGGTCCTAACTGCTAAAGGACAATTGTTTACTATATATTTTGAAAAAGGACAATTTCATGCCTGAAACTCTTATATATTCCATGTGCTTCCCTACCTCTACTATTTCTCTATGTTTAAGCTTTACTTTCAACTATTTCTTCCACATTTTTCATATCACCTTTGCTTCCATTTATATCTTTTCTTCATCAAAGCTTTAAATTAAAGCTAACCATGTTCCCTTAGCATTCACATCAGGAGTAACACATCTTACTCATAAAGCTTCTAACATCGTACATCCACATATGATCCATTAAATTAGACTTAATAATAATTATCGTGATAGACTTTAACTTAGAATATAAGTTTGAAACATAAGTTTTGATCTTTGTAATAATTTTTGGATCATCTTAAAATATAAGTTTTTGTCTAATTCAATCCTACAAAATCAAAAATAAAAATTATGTTTTATTTATATATTTTATTATGATCATATCACTATTTAATATAACTCGAATTTTTTTTAATACTAAACATTTGCATATATTTTAATATTTCAATAGTGAATAGATCCGATAGCAACTATTATGATAGACTTTTGATGCACTCGTAGAATTAGAATTTGAGTACAACACAATCTTAAAGATTATCTCCTGAGTTGCGAATTATTTTTTAATTTATATACACTATTTTAACTATATAACTATTTAATTTGACTTTATTCGACAAGAATATTTTATTTTCCATTTACAATATGTTTCGTAATGAAACTCTCATTTGCGACACAGAACTAATGCAATTATATTGTGCAAAAAATTCTCATTACCACGGAAAAAAGATTATAAGAAAATGAGTAGCATTAACTAGCACTAGCTTGCTGATTCAAGTGAAAAGGAAATTGGTTCTTAAAAATTCGAGTTCTGTAATTGTTCAAGTAATAAGTGTTGGGAAATTGTTTTGTTATCATAAATAAGCCTAACAAAATTTTTTAATAATAAAGGGTAATATGATTTCTGAATACTAAATGTGTACGACAAAAGAAGAAGGAAAATAGCAGTGATATTTCTCGTCAAGAATCACCTCAATTGATAATAGGGTTTGATTATGCTACCAGATCAGCTAACAGACAAAATCAAATGCTTAATTAAGGTTTGATCTTGTTGGTCTGACTTTTGAAAAAAGTATGATAATTATGCCACTAAATCATTTACGGATAGAATTATGTCCATTAGGAGCTATATATGTTTAACATGTTTCTACTTTTTCATCCATTGCACCTAAACTTCAGGAATGAACATTGCAAATTATCCAACACTTGCAAGTTTCATTATTTTAAATAGTGGTAATTAATGACATTCCTTAATTTGTTCAAAATCTGCTATCAAACAAAAGAGTGCATATATGTGGAATCCTATCCACCCACATGAAATTGATCTTTTATTTTGATATATCTGATTGTATATAATTACATGATGTGGTAATTAATGAAATAAGAATATAGTATATGTTATGTTATGATGGGAGGAGGTAGCTTTGGAATGGCTGCCCCGAATGATCATTGTCATGGGCCATGTACGATGAGCTTTCCACGGTTTCAGTGTTTGAGCGCCAAAGATTATTGACTGCTTCTCTTCATTTTTACTACAAAAAGAAGCAAAAGATTGTATTGGGAAACTCTTTTTAGTGCCATTATACTGTACCTTACCTTGTCTCAATCTACCACTCCTTTCTTTTTTCCTTTTCTCTTTTCCTTATATATTTAAAGTATATCTAGTTCAAAAATCATATCGTAAATCATTCAAAAAGTCTTTTAAATTTAATAAATCGACTTATTTAAATATTGTTATTATTATTTTCAATTTATTATAAAACATTAAATACATACATTTATTTATCTTTCTAAATATGTTAAACATGCTCACTTATATAAAGAGTGAAACTTATAGGTTTAGGGTTATTAAGAGATTATACTTTTGTCATTTAGAGGTCTTCTTACAAAATATGTTTTTAAATGTTTTTTTTTATTTATTTATGTGTTGGTCATAAATTATCACTTTACATATTTTTTAATTAATTTTGAACTCCTCAAGCCTTTTTTTGTTTAAGACCAGATATCTATTTAAAAAAAATAAAACAAAATAGTGTAATAAATTAATAATTAAGATAAATAATATAATATTAAAAAAGAGGGCGAACGAGGAGTTTTAATAAAATATAAAAATAACAAGCATATAATGTATAAAAAAAAATAGCATAACGTAACTAAAGTAAATAATTAATCAGGTTGATATATGTGGAGAAAAAATTATACCAACATTTTTTAATTGAGCCTCAAAATTAATTTTTATTGCACCCGAGACTGCATTAATTTGCAAGTATATAAATTTCTTTCGGATTATGAGGGATCTGTATCTGGATTTGGAGGTAGTTGTTAATGGTCCAATCATGGTTGTTACATCTTTGGAAACCATTTGCGATTAGGCCAGGCCTTGTAATAATAACCAATCTGCCCATCTTAAATATTAGTTTTTGGCATGTTGTACACTGATAAAAAAGCATGACTAAAAATTTATTATAATACAAAGAGTTTTTAGTAATATTTAAAAAATGTTATTTAACTGGGTATAAATGTTATTAATTTATTTTTGCAACATATTATCAAATATTGTATATATAGTTCATGTTGTTAAAGACTTTTAACAATATTTTTATATAATTAGACAATATTTTTCAAATGTTATCAAAGTAGTATTTTTATAATATTTTAATGATGTTACCAAATTTATGTTAATTTTATAAAATAATAATTAATTTTAATTTAGATATTGTTATCAATTATTATATTTTTATTATTCCTAAACTCCCAAGAATTATTTAAGAGAAGATTAAAGACATTCTTAATTAGTCATCACTAATTATATATCAAATATTAAAGTTTATTCAATCGATGTGAGACTTTAATTATAGATAATAATTAGAGATGAGAGAAATATTTTTTTTTACTCGATGTGGGACTTTAATTTTAGAAGTAATTAGAAAGAATAATGTTGAGATAAAAAAATGTTACTTATATGTAGTAACATTTTTTTTAAAAAAAATGTTGCAAAACAACTTATGTAACATTTTTTTACTTGATATGAGACTTTGATTTTGAAAATAATTGGAAAGAATATATTGAAATAAATAATGTTACTATATTTATAGTAACATTTTGCATAAAAATGTTGCAAACTAACCTATTTATTTAATACATAGTAACATTTTAATAAATGTAAAAAATAAAATGTTGCTAAAGAATTAAAATGTAGTAGTGGTTACTTGAAGTGCAAACCGCAACTCTCTTAAGTGTTTTACACTCACAAAGTAGTACTTCCCTTTCCTATCTATTTTTTTTCTTAATGAACATGATTTATGTAATATTATTAGGGTAAAATATATATTTTTATGCATTTTCTATGTTGAGTGTCATTCATCCGACATAAAAAATGACATCGTGACATACTTGTAAATATGTCAAAACATTCTATGATTGGTATTTGATTTACCCATCATAGAATGTTTTTTCTATGATGGATAAGTTAACACTTATTATAAAATGTGTTGGTAAGCCTTTGTCAACAACCATTCTATGATGGGTGTTGAGTTACCTGTCATAGAAAGTTCACATTCTATGATGGATAATACATCACTCGTCATAGAATGTCTTAATATTATGTCATGAAAAGGTGTGAATCCATTTACACTCTCTATTGTTCTTCTTCTTTCTCTTTAGTGACAACTCTACAATTGTTTCAACGACTTAGTGTGCACACCCTCTAGGGACTACTAGGAGCAAATTGCTTTGGCGACCAAGGCGAAGTGTTCTCCTTCGATTCCAGCAACATTCTCCTTCATGCATGCTCCTACGAGGTACGAATGTTCTTCTCCTTAAGTTGGTTGGTTTTTAGGGTTTAGGGTATCGATAATGTGAATGTTTATCTTCTATTTGTTGTCCTTCCATTTAGGTGCGACTTCCTCTGTTAAGCCATTTCCTCCATTGAGGCACTTGCTTTGTTCAACCATTTCCTCCATAGAGCCACTTCCTATCAGGTTTGTCTTGTTTTCTCTTTTTTGAGCATTTGTGCTATTGAATGAGTGTTGACAGTGGTTTGATTTGTTGGTTTACTAGTTTGGGGTTGGTTTTTTGTTGAATGAATGTTGATAGTGATTTGTTGTTGAATGAAAGTGCTTATTTAGTTGGTAGTGGTTTGGTTTGTTGATTTGGGTGTTAGTTTTGTTAGCTATATTCGAGTTGGTTTGAGGTTTGGGTGCTTATTTAGTTGCTTGGTAGACACTATAAGCTAATATTTTAATGTATAATATATATATGTATTATATTATTACTTGTTATTGTATAATATTTGTTGTTATTTTAATTATTAATATGATTTCTTTTTCTTTTTTATAAACCTATGGTTAACATAGGTGGTGCTTCTTGTCCTCGTCCTCCCCCTCCTCCATCTTATTTAGTAGAGTTAGTCGAGTCAACCTACCAGGAAAAGGGTTAGGCAACCTACTACTTTGAAGCACCTGATTGCTAGCCGGATTAAAGGAAAGTTGAAGCATGTTGACATTGATATCCAGACAAGGCTTGCTTTTGGGTCGCATAAATAGTGGTTCAATTTTATTGACTTGATTGGGAGGAGCAAGGCTTCTATTACTTATGAGAGTTGGGAGCTTGTCCAGAGAGCATGAAGAACTAGATATGACAAACTATCATGGTATGAAACATTATCTTTGTATATAAAATAATTTTTAATTATGTATTGCACATTTACCAACTAAATTATTATACGCGTAGCTCACTTATGATATTCCCAACATTGACTGGTTGAGGAATAAATATGTTAATTAGTTATGTTGGTCAATGTTGGAGGGGGTTTTAAGAGTCATTTGAGAAGTGAGTATATTTTTGGTGTCAAGGTAGATAAAAACCCTTGTGATGACTATCCATATATTTATCAGGAGAATTGGGATAGGTTCCGCGAGTATAGACTCTCATTAAAGTATATGGTAATTAAGTCAACTCAACAGTTATATAA